TTTCTGTAGGCCCGTCTTCGATACAGTCCGTTCGTCCAGCAGCGAATAAAAGAGATTTGGATTAATCCGATGCAACAATGAGATGCAATTTGCGAGGGGTTAATTTTATAACTCACAGTAGCATGCGAGACGTCTCCCTTTTAGCTACGGTGGTTAGCGTGTAGCCACTGCCTGTAGCAGCACTTCCGCAGCGCTGCTCCGTCTCTCAGGCGGCTTCATTTGGCGAACAACGATCGGGTTATTCGGCGGTTAGCAGAGCTGGATTACCTCTTCTCTGTCTCTGCTGCTGCAGGATTTAGAACATCCTGCCTTCAACTTGGTATGATTCGCAGAAAGGATAAAAAAAAACTGCGTTCAGCTCCTTCTGAATCGCAGGAAAAATAAAAACACTGCGTTCAGCTTCTTCTGAATTGCAGGAAAAAGGCAGTCTGACTCGGTCCAGCAAGCACAGATTTCTCCAGAGGGGTATTGGTTGCAACGTAGCATAGCCTTAAGCTAGGAGTGCTCTTGTCTAGCCGTTAGCGAAGCGAACCGCCTTCAAAATAGGACGCTAATATGGGAAGCTGAGGTTTTTAAAACATACGCCGGAGGGTATCAGAGCGGCGTACTTCCGGTGTTCTGAAACAGTGTATCAGGTTGACAGTGGTGTCGGATGTAGGAGTTGGCCTTAAAATTGAAGGGTTGACGGTTCAAGCCCTGGCTCCGACTTTCAGTTTCGTTGTGTCCTTGGGCAAGACACTTCACCTACATCGTCTACTGATGGTGGTCAGAGGGCCCGGTGGCGCCAGTGTACGGCAGCCCCGCTTTTGTCAGTGAGTCCCAGGGCAGCTGTGGCTACAATGTAGCTCGCCACCATCAGTGTGTGAGTGTGTGTGAATGGGTGAATGAAGTGTAAAGCGCTTTGGTCAAGTCTCCTGACTTGAATAAAAGCGCTATATAAGTACAGGCCATTTACCATGTATTGCAACAATCTGTACACACAACTTGAAACGTGTCTGACTTCAATAAATACAAGCATCAAAGGTGAGGTGTGGCTCAAAATGTGTTTGGTCTGAATGCCGCATAACAGATACTGGTGTGTGAGTCCTGACTGGCTCACGCCGTGTTTCACTTCTTTATGCTGATCTGTAACATAAATTACCCGCAAACGTTTTCCAGGTTTTGCTTAGGGTTTGTGATCATCTTAGAAAGATATAATGAAAAAAGATCAACTTAGAGGAACCAGGGTGAGAACCAGAGGAGCAGACAATGAGGGAGGAGAAAACACCGAAATAAATAAACCAGGAAAACACCAAAGACAGGTGAGCAGCACTTAGTGAAATACTAAAAGGAAGACATTGTCACAGCTATAAGATAATTATATGGAAAAAGTCTCAAAGCATTTGAACACTTATAAAAACGTGCATTTACGCATCAATTACTTGCAGCAATCCCTAAACTAGTATTTTTACCTGGTTCTTGAAAGAACATTTGGTTTTGTCTGCACTTGTTTTTCAGACACTTTTATTCAAACACTTGATTAAATACAGTGGAGGAGAACTTGGCTGTTTACAGTCAATCAGCCACGCCTTCATTTAATCCAATACAGAAGAGAGAAGGACTGTATTTCTCCCACCAGCACTTAACCCCTGCTAGATTAGGGGTCAGCTACTCAGCAATGCTGAACATTTGTTGGATAAGTGAAGCTTTGTTGTGAAAATGGGAAAAGAAAAGCAGGGCTCAGCACTTTACATGCCATAAGAGAACAGATAGAGAAGCTTGACCTCCTGCCACATCCTATGTTTCTTATCTTTCAAGGAGCTGTTCGGACTCTGAAATCACTTTTTCACATTTTCAGTGCAGATAACCCAGGAAAATGTCGACCTCATAAATAATACTTCAGTAAAAGAGGAAGTATATTTAAAAAAAAAAGGTAAACCACATTGTCTGCAGGAAAAGGGATCCTGAAAAAGGAAATGCCTTGAAATCTATGAGCATGTGACCGGATTTGACCGATGAGCTTATCTTGCTATGGGTGGCTCCCTTCAGAACGTGTTGTTTAGCATCACCTAGTAAACCTCGTCTTAGTGTGATTCTTTCAGACCCTCAAATCTATGGATTCTTCCTCTTATTAAGAAATCAGTTAATTGGAACCAAAAATGCAAAAAAGCAACAACAAATAACCCCTATTTATACATTTTGTTATATACTTTTAAGGGTAGGCTTAAAACTTTCCTTTTTGATAAAACTTATGGTCAGAGTGGCTCATGTTATCCTGATCTATCTCTATAGTTATGCTGCTATAGGCTTAGACTGCTGGAGGACATAGGGACCCCTTTTTCATCATTCTGCTTCATTCTATCTCTATTCTCCCACTCTGAGAATCTGTTAGTTCAATCTCTAATGTTCTGTTCTCTCTGCTTTTTCTCATAGTAGCTTCATCTGGTCTGTTCACTGACGCCATCCTGGAGAGAAATATCAGCTGTGCTGCTGCCATCAGAACCTTTGTTTATAGATGTTTGAGATTGGCCTGTTTTTCAGTGTAGTCCTGTTTCTCTGACCGTGACTGGCTGGATGTGCTCTTTTCGTCCTCTGACATGGGAGTTGGTTCGGAGCTCGTCTGCCTGGCTGTGTGTTTCCTGGACGGGGCCACCTTTTACAATTGGCCGCTCACACTGAGCCTGGTTCCGTTTCTTCCTGTTAAAAGGGAGTTTTTCCTCTCCACTGTCACTACAAGCATGCTTAGTGTGAGGGATTGCCTTTGAGTCAATGAGTCGATGCAATCAACTGGTTTTCCTTAGATAGAAAACTTTGATTAATTTTGACTGTATGATCTGGTGAACTGTAAAGCACCTTGAGATGACAAGTGTTGTGAATAGGCGCTATAGAAATAAACTGAATATAATTTAACTGAATGTATAACATTTTTGATATTTTGATAATAATGCAAAAGAGGAACCTATCAGGTTACTGAATTAAAAATGAAAGATAAATAAAATATGTTGGAAAAAAAAACATAATTTCCAATAAAAACATATTTAAACCTAGTCAATAAGAAAGGGTTTGTGGCTCTAATATGCTGTCAGACTATTTTCCTCTTTGTTTCAATCAACTGGACACTAACCGTGATATAACTCAGTTTTTGGTGCAACCCAACAATCAGTGCAGAGAGAGACTGTGTAGTTAGCTGAGCTTTTAACGACTGGTTCTGGCCACTCTCAGAGGAATGTTAAAATCTGCCTCATGTCTTCTGCTGTCTTCTGCCTGAATAGCTGCGACTACTGTTGGTTATTTTTCATCTAGCAGCAGGTATGCAATAAAAGCTCAAATTGTCTTTAGTCTGCCAACAACACAAGATGGTGTTTTAAACTCTCCTGTATCCACCATGTGTCAGTCTGTTATGGCCACCTACAGTTCTAGGGTTATTCTGACGTTACTGTTGATCATCTGTCCATCATCGTATAAAGCCCGCCCTGACAATTTGATTGGCCCGCCAGATATTGTGTGAGCATACTCGCGCTACTATTGAGCAATGCCAGACCGAACTTCCCGACCTCAAACGTTGTGGGTGGGACTAAGTTCGGAATGGCACCCAGGCTAGAGTTAATCATGAAAGCAGGGAAACTCTGAGTTTTCCGTTTCAAAAAGAGAGTTCACTTAATCTTTGTCTGTTGCCATGGTAACATTCTCCTCAGAGCTAACAGGGTCCAGAGCAGGTTTTCCTCCATCAACTCAGTGCCCTCCTTAAATGTTATGTGATTAAAACAGGTATGGTAGGCCATTTAGACATTTATTAGTTTGTAATGTAATTCAGATACATATTCAGCCAACCTTATAAATGTAAAAACAGCCACTTAAAATGTGTATACATTTCTAGTTCTTTGTTTTTTCAGCGTCTGCTACAAAAATATAAGTTATTATTTTAACATTACAGCTATGACTAGGAATTTGATTCTAACCAGGAAGAATCCTATATCAGTGATCTAAAAATTAATGATTAATAGGAGAGTTATTTTAATAAATGTTAAAACTGCCTGCCATACCAGTCTACATACTGTATATACCTCCACATTATCCCCAGCAGCATCTCCTCCTTCAAAATCTTCCTCTTTTTTGCAGCTGTAGAGCTGTTTCTGTTTTTTAAACACAGTATTTTCTTTAACTATGCAATAAAATCTCTAGTTCCAGTGTGATGAAAAAAAGCAATTCCATTTTTCTGTTGTCATGGTGACTTGTGGAATCAGGGCTCCACTAATGATGGGTTTTCATAGTTGTTATGCGTGTGTTAAACTAACTCACCAGTTTCCAAACACAGGCTAGATCAGTTGAGCCTGAGTTTGTTAAATTTGTTTAATGGGCCTAAGAGTTCTCTCTGATATAACTTTGATGTCAGGGTCTATATAACGGCTGAATCTGATCGGATCTGACCAGGCAGCATGTTTCCACTCTTATTTCTCACTGTTGCTGGGCCTCTTTGAACTCAGTTTCATTATTTGTTCTTGGGAAACAGAAGCTGTTGCTGATTTGTTTCAAATTTCAGAGGAAAATCAACAATTAATGGTGTTATGTCTAATTCGGAGGCAACAAGTGATAACTTTAGCTACTAAGGACTATTATCTCAACCAGGCCGTCCAGTCTACTCTGACGTCTGGCATCACCTAGAAAGGTTCTTTTTTTGGGAAAACCAACGGTTTTTTGTTGTTGTTTTTTTTAACCCAGTTGTCACAAGGCAACTCAGAACAAGTTTGTTTTCCAAAGCAATCTCTGTAAACAAACAAGATGGTCGTGTATATACGTTTAGCAGTATATGAAAGATCAATATTAGTTGTGTTTCCATCAGATTTTTCGACAACGCATATTGATGACTTGTCTCAGAAAAGCTTGTTGAAAATGGTCAAATTTGAATAAACTCCCTAAAATTCGTGGGAAAAAAAGCTTTTGCGCTCGCTTAAAAAAGGGTTGATGTGCAGAACGGGAGAAGGAAGCCCTTTTTTGGAATCAGCTCTGACATAGGCTGCGTCTCAATTCGCAGGCTGCGTACTTGGTAGTACGCAATTTGAGGCCGGTGACGTCACAACGCTGCGCGGAGGCCGTCCCATTTGGCAAAAATTCTGAGGACGCTTAAAATGCAGCCTCAAAATGCGTCCTCATTTTCCCCGAATTCTGAGGATGCATCGCTACCGTCCTTAGTGGCCTCGCCTCCCACTAGATTTCCCGAGGTGCTTTGCGCGCTTCTTTTTTTTTTTTTTTGTAGTTGAAGAAGAAGAAGAAAAAGAAGAAGAAAGTCGGATTTTCTTCAAGTTACGGACAAACGAAAGCAGCAGCAGCGCCGACAGTAGTGCGGAGAACACCTTTAAATGTAAGTATTTTTTTTTTTTATGAACATCTATTAAAATACATGACGGTAACGGAGCCACCGGAATGTGTAGGAGCAGCTAAAGCTAAAGCTAAGAGCTAACCTGTTGATACGTGATGTTCATCAACAATTAAAAGCCTTCATACAAATGTCACTATTTTTTATTTTAACCTACATCTTACTGTACTGATAGCCGTATCCCTCACTAATCGGATCTATTTATTCCCAAACAGTTTATTACAAAGGATTAGAGCTGTTAAAGGTTAATGCAGCTGAAGAAATAACATTAGTCCAGCTGTACTGGGCTGTTAATACTGCAAACGTTTTGTTTTAATACTCAATAACGTATAGTTTATTTACAGTACAGTATAATAAGGTTTAAAGTATAATTCGCTTGAAGAACAATACAGGCGTAATTATACAGAACAGTTATTTTGCCTGTTGACTTAACAGAAATATGCTTTACATGTCATTTTGTTCCAGGGAGCAGACAGAGGAGTGGATAAAATGACCACCTCATCATCGGGGCCAAAGATACTGCTGCAGTCGGATGGAGGGAAGAGTTGAGGCAGAATTCCATCTACATGTTGCATTTCTATGTAAAAGTCACACAAGTTAAAAGAAGTCCTGTTCAAACACCAACGTACAAATATAATCTTTTGATCACATCAAATGATGCCCAGATGCCACTTTTTGTAAATCTCATATTTGTGATAGAAGTGATCCTTGTGTGGGACAACTTAAAAAAAAAAAAAATACAAAGTATGTTCAGGTTTGGATAATGTAATGAAACACACACACACACCTATATATATATATATATATATACATATATATATATATATATATATATATATATATATGTATGTGTGTGTGTGTGTAGGGAAATAACATCTTTCATTTATTATATTCATGTTAATTTCCACTTTGAGTAAGCTTGAAAAAGTAATCTCCAGGTTACCATTCCAAAGTCTTTTTCTGTAGAATTTCATCAATCCATCCAAATCATGAAACATTCCTTTTTTCTAGCTTTAAAGAAACACTACAGAAAATAGCATCTGTTGATACAAATAGTTTCCCTTTACTTTAGGAATGCAAAGATCCAGGGCAGGGGGTCAGTGGGAATCCTACTGCTGCCACCTGGCCCTGGTTTGTCCTCATGGAGGAGGTATTAGGACGGAGGCCCTCTGTTGCCCCACCTGTCCTAATTGCCTCCATCCCTGAGGACACGCCAGGGCCAGGTGCTGCAGAGGCTGAGCAGCATCAGGGTGAAGATGAGGAAGAGAATGAGGATGAGGGAGGAGGGAAAGGAGGAAGAGAAGAAGGAGAGACAAGTTGGTGGATTTAATCAGGGAGGATATCAGATGGCAGAAGGAGGCGGGAAAGGATGGAATGATTATTTCAGTTATTGGAGAGGATGGTGGACAGATGTTATTATTTTTTTGGTGTTTTTTTTAACAAGTTGAGGTTCTGTGTTGCTGTTATTGTTAAATGAAATTATTAAATTATTTTTAAAAGTTATTGTTGTCTGTGTGTTCTTAAAGTCTTTTAACCTTTTTACATTATCTGTTTCATCACTTCTTTGTAATTTAAGCAAACTTAGAACAACCTCTCAGTGACAGTTTATTTTTAGAGAAGCAAGTATTTACAATAAACTATTAAACATTTTTAACTATTGACATTAGATTTTAAAATTAACTACTACAACTATTTACAGAAGATATACAGTAAATATTACTAAAGAACATATATATACAATTGTCACTGAGCAGGAGTCCCTGGTGGTGCTGCTGGACTGGATGGGATGCCACACAGATGAGCTTGGAGTCTTCTGACTGCGAGTGGGACATCATCGGGGGGATGGGGGTGCCTCTCTCCACTGCTGATCCAATCGATAGCTGCCATGTTACTAAAAATGTTCAAAAAGACGGAGAAAATAATGACTTTACTAAAACTGTTTTTATAACCCTGAAATGAGAACAGCTAAAATGTGATTCTACTTGCCATCTAAATGTAATGGTGGTCAGGTAGACCCTCCTCCAGGGGCAGACACCTCAGCAGACAGCTGGTCCCTCCAGTGAGCACCACTGACTGCCTCCAACACGTTCTCCCCCTCCTCATCCTCTGGCATGTCGTCCTGCTCTTCATCCTCTGGGGCTGTTATGACCTGTAGAAAAAAAAAGACAAAAATATTTATTTTTATTCAGTCATCTATCTTTTATTCCTTATCTTTATTACATGATTTATTAGAAATTAAATTTTACTTCATCTAGATCCACTATTTAACTTAGTTTTTTCGTTTTTATATTTGATTTTTTTTTTCCTGTATTATGTTTATATATATATATATATATATATATATATATATATATATATATATATATATATATATATATATATATATATATATATATATATATATATATATATATATATAATTGCAAATATAATCAGGCAGTAAGGGGATAACAATTTAGACAAAAATGATTTATTTCTCAACAGTTTGGCTTCTCAACACAACATTAGTAATGGTGAGAGTAGTGATTTAAGTCAGTTATTTACAGGGTTTGTACACATTTAACTATTCAATTCAAATTACTAAAGTTACAAACAAATAAATCACAAACTTAAAAATAAATATAAAACTTGATATTTAAACATATTCATCAATCTGCTGACAAGCGTTTATTTAATAGCTGGTATATTCTGATCATTAGCAGGCCCTGTGGGTTAGAATAATAGCAGGTAGATCTTACCTCTCCACTGCGCTCTGCCAGCCTGAGAAAAATCCGTCGCAGGTTTTGCTGCCACCGAAGCCGTCAAAGCTGACTCTGCTCCTCCAATAACAAGTAAATAAAAAAAATAAAAATTTACATATCTATTTTTTTGTTGTTTCTTTCCGTATTTCTCGAGCTGTCGGATTTTGTTTCGCGCTGTGTTTGGGGTAAACGTGATGACGTCGTGTCGCAACCAGGAAGTGCTCCAAAGGCTAGACCGTCCCATTTACCAACGGCTGAGGATCCTCCGGAGCAGCCTACCAAGTCTGGGTCCAACGGAGGCTAGGTAGGCTGCGTCCTCGGAAGTACGCAGCCTGCGAATTGAGACGCAGCCATAGCAAACGTTTCCTCATGTGACTGATCAGCTGTTTCTGCTGTCATCTTTCTGGATGTTCCTATGCACATAAACATGGCTGAAAGCAACATCCCTATTACAAGCTAACATGTTAAATTAATAAAACCTCCCAGATTGTAAAATATTAATTAAAACTTTCCTCCATTACTGATCAGTGCTAGATTGCAGCCTCTATATCGTATTATGGACATTGTTTCAGGACGCCTAAGCAGTGCTTGGTTAATTCGCTTCAGACCAAATGGTAAAAAGCAGATTTGCATTTCTACTCATCTGAAACTTTATAGTTTTGTTTAAAATTCTGGTTTTGGTTGAATGGACCTTTTCTTCTTCCCCATTCTGATGCTAAATAAAATAACTTAAACCAAAAATCTAGAAACCTAAATTTGTCATGGTTGATTCCCTGCTTGGATTAACATCAATTAACAAGTGCACCTAGAAAAGTGACTTTAACCCTTTAAAGCCCGATCCAAGAAAAAAAAACAAAATAGAAAATTACTTTTTTTTGGTTGGAATTCCTTATTTGACCTTTTAACAAAATATGTAAAAAGAAAAAACAGAAATACATTTTTGATATTTATTTTTTGTGTAGTCTTCTGCCCTCTGTTATCAGGTATATCTGATTGTGTACAATAGGATTTTGAGCAAAGTTTTTACCATTAAATCATGCAAAAGGTGTCAGATGCAAAACATTTCAGAAACCGTATGTATCAAATACAATACATTTGGTATTATAGGGTTAAGTATGTGTGGGCTGAAAAGGAAAAATGTCAAATGCTGACAGGTGTTTTGGTCTTCTGTAGATGAATTCTGCATTGCCATGAAATGCTTCTTCCTAAATTAATCAGACACATTAAATCTGTCTGTGTCACTATTCCAGTTCCACTGAGCTGCTGCATTAAAGTTAGTGCCCCTTTTTTTCTATTTGTCAGTAGTTATTTTATTAGGTTATGAAGACCCTTCCTTTTCTTCAGAAGACATTCAATTAAAGCTGACCTGAAGTGAAACTGCAGTTCAGATCCAGTTTCTGGTTATCATGGTTCTGACATGATTGTAGTTTATGCTGTCGCTCACCTGTTAAAGGGATGTTTAAAGTGGAAGGTAAGGATAGTTTATTTCTATTGCACCATTCAGTACATGGACAGTTCAATGTTCTCTTCATGAGTTATGCTGGTTAAGATTCTAAGTCATCTAGGTCACAGTCATTCCAAAAAAAGTTAAAAACAATCCACTTGCAGGGGAAAAGAATACCTTGGCTGTTCAGCCAGGCTAACAATTCCCTCTAACGACCCCTTTTCAGAGACATAGACAGGTGTTACAGGCTAACAAAGAACTCAAACGACCCCCATTCCAAAGGGGTGGACCGGTTGATCTAGATCAATTTGCATGTTTTCTAAACAAAAAGGTCCACTCTATAAAGCCTTGAACCCAACACTATTTCTGACGTTTTGAATTGAAAAAGCTTCCTGGATGGGAAGCAAAATGTCTTCAAACTTGGAAACAAATTCCAGTGGATTGTTTTTTAAATGTTTTTAGAAAGCTTTACATGAATCAGACAATAAAACAGAAGAAAAATCAAAGCAAATAAAGATTTAAAAAATGATAAAAGCAGGTAGTAAAACAAATAAAGCAGTCAGACCACAACCTTATAATAATACCTCAGTTAACAGATTAACTTCAACAGTCAAAGGCAGCTCTAAACAAATGAGTTTTTAACTTCTGGCTTCAGAGACCTCAGGCTTTCAGCACTTTTTACAGTCTTTCTGTAAAAGAGTAGGCTTGTTTCTTTTGTTCCTGTGGCTGCCTGAGGTTTCTCAGAGGAATCTATGATCTGCACCCCTAGTCAGATCAACACTCAGATGTTATCAGTTAACTGAATTGAGCAAATTTGAAGCTAATATAACATTAATCGACAGTTCTTTGTGAGTCAGTTACTTATTTACAACACTAATCTGGATACGTACATTTTGCTCCAGCTGATCTTGTTATCTTAAAGGAAAAGTCCAGTCATATTCAGAATACAAACTTCTGAAAGGACTTTAAATATGAAATTATTACATACTACTCAATAAATTATAAATATTTTTAATGAGGAGTAATTTTCACGTGAATGTGCTTTACTGGAGACATCCATGTTTGTCAAAGAACACTACTGCCACCTGCTGGTTTGTGACGTCACGGTGTGGTATCGGCTGTTGATCAAGTCCCAGTGCTGTATCTGGTGTTTGTCACAACGCGCTATTATCCAAGTCATCTTGAAAACATTCTTCTTCCAAATGTTGGCTACATATTACGGGTTTTCTCTCTGGCCAGAAGTTCGATGACAAATCCTCCCTCTTCAAGTTGGCGATCCAACGACCAACCCGTCTGTGGAGGATCAGGAATCAGAAAGGTGAAATAAATACATTTTTTTCATTTTTACCCGATGTATTCCAACATCCAGCTGCCATGCACGTGGGCATTGTCAGTTTAACTATAGCTCTGGTGAATTTCAATGGTGAAGTCCTCTGGAAATCTTCAATAATTGTTGTTGATTG